AAAAAGGTTTGGTTTATGTGCAACATTAGACAGGGCTGAGATCCAGAGCTGCTCCAAATCAGTCAAATGTGACCACGGCATCTGAACAAACTGTAGAAAAGACCTCCTTTTTCAACCCAAGTTTGTTTTCCTTTTGGGGGATAATTTGAACTTAATCCAAGGAATTCCCTGTTTTTCCTGAATGTACATGTAATGGAAATTTAGCATGCAAAGTAAAAAAAAAAAAAAACCTATTTCTTCTACTCTTTAGCCAGAAAACAACAAAGCAAGCAAACAAACAAAAGAAAGAAAACGTGTCATCACCACTCATGAATTTTTAGCTTCTGTGATTCTCAGTCACAGATGGTTGAGACAGAGGTGGCTTTGATGGGAAAGCCAAGTTGATTTATTTTGCCTCATTTTGTCTTTGCACAAAACCTAGGAAGTTGCAAGGAACAAATTTCAATATAGAAGGCTCACACAGCATAGCAAACTGTTAGGTAGGGCGGCCTGGAGAGGAACGGTCACAGATTCTGCTAGAGAAGAAAATGGTTAAATCTCTAAGTTACCTGTTCAAAGATACCATGTTTTGTTTTGTGTGTGTGTTTTGATAGACAGAGGTTTCAAGGAGCAATGCAGCCCTTCTTGGCTCTTTTTGCAAGTGTTTCTAAGCTGGGAGGGAGAACATGAGCAGATGCAAGCTTTCTCTGCTAGGGAGAGGTAGCCATAATACGCTTGATCTCCGTCAACTCTTCCACTGGTTTCCTACACCTACTTCTGTGAATCCTTGTACTCCTTCCATCTCATTCTTGCAGGCTTCTAGTTTTGTCCTACTTAAATCAGAGAAGCAGCATCCCTTGGTACCTCAAAATTTCTGCTTCTCTGTGTTGATCTCCAATTTACATACAGCTTCTGCCCCAGTGGAAAATCATGAGATTTTTTTGCCATACAATTTTTCTGGAGCAGCTAATGCTCATATGTATTAATCAGACAAAATTGTCTATGTCCTGACCGAATGACTTGGTTTTTATGTTTCTAGAAAGCTTCTATATTCTGTTTATTTTTCTAGATGTATAGATAATATTATAGCATTTAGAATGTGCAATGCACTCTGTACGGATGAAGCAATAATGCCTGATAGGACAGGCCTTTGTCTTGTCCACATGCCTTTTTTTCCCCATAAGATATTCTGTCCCAGAAATGTAACCATGTAGGCTGCAGGGTGTTGCCACTCAATGTATCAAAATGTTCTGTTACTGTGCTCCACCTGTACCTGCTCGGTGTGTCAAAAGTGTTTTGTTCAAACAATGCACCTGTCAGTACCTGGTGTTTCTACCTGTTCCCCCTCTTCTAGCTATGTCTCCACTCTAAAATGTTCCTCTCAACCTCTTTTCCCCAACTGACTCTCACTGCAACTTGGTGCTCAAAATTTGAGTGAGCAAACTCCTCTGAGCCAGCTGGCTAATAAAAGGTTTTTCTTCATCTCTTTAAGTAACTTTCAGAGTCTCAAATCGTCAAATTGCTGTAGCTGTAACACAGAGCTATAGCACTGGGCTGTAACACTGAGCTGTACCACTTAGCCAGGATAGCATGAACTATTTTCCATCTCTTTATATTATCTTCTAACAATCTTATGGCATCTACACTATCATTATCCTTATGTTACAAATAGCAATTGAGATCTGAACAAATAACCAGGAAAGCCGTGAACTTGAATCTAGGGTATCTGCTTACACAGTGTACATTTTAACCAGTACATCCACATTGCTAATATAAGAAAACATGCGTTAATGCTTTACCTCCAGGGAATTAAGAAATTTTCGTGTATTTTCAAATTGATCTACTCAACAAACTATAAGATTAGAAGAATTAGTATCACTGTAGTATGTGAGGAAATCAAGGTATGGAGAGGGTGAAATCACTCAGTCAGAGTCACAATGCTAGTTTGAATAGAGGAATCACATTTTTGAAGCCAGATCTCTGTAGAGCCAAAGCTTTTGCTTCTAAGAAATCATAAATCACCGGTGGAAACAATTGTATCTAAAATGTGACCACTGATTGATCCACCTGCTTTGTGAGTCTCTCTAACCTATTCTACGTGGTACCCTTGCAACACACACACATCAAATATCACCTTTCTTTTCCTTCCTTATATGCTCACTTGAGAGATAAGAAAAAGATGGCTTAACACTGTCTTAATACTGTTTCTCCTTCAGAAGATCTATGGCATGCAGAAAATCAGGAATTCTGTGTCAAGGAGGAAAGACCTAGGACTTGGGCCACTATTCTTGAAGGTGTTGTCTTGAATACTATCCTATTCGGAAGCACTGTATATCCCTACAGAAGGAATTTTCTTTGTAAAGAAAATCTGGGCTCTTGAAAGTAGACCCTGAGGAAGGACTTTAACACAGTTCTTCATTTGGAAAGAGGTTCTATGAGACCACATAAGATACTAAGTACAATGAAAATGAGACAACTTCACAGTGCATCGATTGCTGGACTGCTTACCACTGTAAGCAAGTGAGCCTTGGGCCTGCCTCCTCTCCTAGGTTACAATGCACAACAGAATTTCCCACCAACAGACAGGAAAGTGGAGGTATTTTCCTAACAACTTCCCTCCTCAATAATTAAGGATTCCCTCAGGGAGCATTAATTTCCTAGCATTTCTGGACAGACCTGTCATGCCAGAGAAAAGCCTTGGGCACAGAGCAGACAGGAAGCTGTCAGTTTACCCAAGATCATTCTATCAAAAGTGCAGGTAAATTCAGGTGTGTCCAGGGGCATCTGCGTGACTGCTATAGTGGGCTCTGCACACAGATAGATGTAATTGGACTATCTGCTTGGTCACCTGTTAACTAGAAAGCTTTCTGCAAATTGCAGAAAACTCTCAGTAAGTATCACATTCCTTGTCTGCAAAATAGAGATAGCAATATGTTGCTAGATCGATTGGAGGGAGAACCAAGGAGGGGGGATCAAGTGGGATCCCTGAGTGTATGTAATCACTTGGTTCACTGCAAGGTGCACAGTGTGCAACTATTATTGCTTTTCTTTTCGGTAAAAAGAGAAGAGATTTTAGACAGCCCAAAAGATCTGCCCAGTATTTGTTTGTGGAATGAATGAAGGAATAAAAGTTTCAAAATCTGGAGGGTGGCTTGGGAGGAAAAACAATTACAGTTGCATATAGTGACGTCAATAGAGATGATTCTAATAATCATAACGTCGAATGGAAGAAGTTAGCTACAAACATCAGATACTCTGTAGTTCCATCAACATGAAATGCAAAACTTGGCAAAGTCTGCCATGGACAGTACTTTCTCTTGTGTGTGACAGGGAAGGGACTAGGCTCCAGATAGGAATTTGAAGGAAGGAGGGGGCTGATAATATTGGAGTCCTTTATCTAGTGTGTTGCCTTTGTGATAGTATGATGGGCTGTACCCTTATGAACTGTGTACTTTTCTATATGTACCTTAAAAGAAAACTTTTAAAACTTGGAGGGGAGGGAGTACAAGTCTTGGTTTTTACACATCTCTATGGCCCGCACTCCCATGGCATAAGAAATCCAGACACCGAGGTTAAATTTCCCACAGTGTGCATCATGAACCAAAAGATACAAGGAAGCCAATCTATTTTAGAAAATTAACACAAATTCATTATAAAAAACCTTTTGGTGATTGCTGTTTTACAAATGAGGAGCCATTATATTTCATATTCTCAGATTATGGCCCCTCCCACACTTACCAAGGGTGATAAAGGGTAACCTTACATTGCAGCCTGGCAGATGCCACCATCACCGAGTGACTAAAGTGAGCACCACCAGCCCCAGGACACAGGGAACCCAAGTACTCCTAGCCAGATGCAACGGGAAAACCCAGCATCCTCTCATCCCTGCCAAAGGGGCAATACCTAGCTCCAATTATGAGGAAGCATCAGATAAAGCCAAATCAAGGATGATTCTGCCAAACAATCGTCCGATGCTCTGCTGAAGTGCAGAAATCAGGACAAAGAAAAGCTGCAGAACTCTTCCAGACTCATCACACAGAAAGAGAAATGACGACTAAATGCAACAGGCGATTTCCAACCAGGTCTTCATTATTGGACAACGGCAGAACTTTACTAGGATCTGAGAAATCAGTGACAGTAAAATCTCAGTGCTGATGAGTTGATGCCAGCATATGGCCAATTAGAAAATTTTCTTTTTTGGTAGTGTTATAGCTCATTTGGGCTTCTTCAACATAATACCATAGAGTAAGTATCTTACACACAACAGAAATCATTATTCTCATGATTCTGGTGTCTAAGAAGCCAGTAACAACAGATTCAGTGTCTGAGGAGGCCCACTTCCTGGGCTATAGACAACTGTCTTGTTACACTTCAAGTGGAAGGAGGTTGAGGAAGCCCTGGTGTCTATTAACAGCGGAGCCCTTATAACTTGATCATCTCCAAATATCCTAACACTGAGCATTTCTACATATAAATTTCAGTGGGACAAAAGTCAATGGTAGATAGGAAATATACCATAGTATTTGAGGCAATAAAGTATCAGGTTGACAAATGCATCCCGACAGATTCAGGGCAAAAGATTCTGTATGTGGTCCTTTACAACTTTTCTGGTTTGAAGTAAACAAGAAATACGCATTTGAAGAAAAAAGGATAGCCACGATGATTTGAGATCTCAGAGGATTTCCAAACAGTCTGAGTTCCATCTGGAGTGGATTTGAACTGGCCAGTGTCCCCAGTTGTCTCTCTGTGGGATGAGGAGGTCAGACCCTCATGACCTTAAGTAATGTGTTTTCATTTGGGTTTCAATCTCATTTCTGCCATCAAAAGAAAATATGTTAAGTATCAAATATTTTCTCTGTACAATCTGACAGGGTATTTTTAAAAGACAAATGTGTGTGCTATGTGCACATATTCTCAAACTGGGGGCAAGATTAATAGGGGGATTCTAAAATGAATTAATTTACAGGAAGCCACCGAAACACTATTTGAATCAATGAGATTAAATTTGCTCTGTTGCACAGGTCACTTGCAATGTCTTCTATTATCAGTGGTAGATTGGCCCTGACAATCCTCATAAATTAAACTGTCCAGCTGCAGCTCCTTCATCGATGCTGTCAGTAATGGAAACAAGAATGAAAGAGAGAAAGGGAGAATATTCAACACGATGAAGAGGAGCCCAAAGTATCTACAGGTTTAGTGAATCAGCGATGCTTCGTCGCTACGTCATTCCTTTTATTGGGAAAGTCTGGATTCAAACCTGTGGTGGAAGGGTCCAGGGTGGTGTGTGCGGAGCGTGTGTGTGTGTGTGTGTGTGCACGCTTGACTTGGTAGTCAGATACCTCGGTTTTGTGTAGCAGGGTGCCAGCAATGCATGATACCAGAGTGGGGAGGGGTTGTGCTTTACAGGGTCTCTCTCATAACAAAGAGAGATCTGCTTTTGGTTTTGTAGGCCCGGGTTAGCAGCCCTGATTTGCAAGCTCACTCACTGGCCTTCAGGTGGGGGCTGAGTCCTGAGATATGATGAAGAAGACATTTCCTGCTGGAGCCCTATGTGTGCTGCTTTCCAAACTGATGTGAGCCAGAAACTTCACAGTTTAAACAGTATAGGTGTACATTTATGCAAGCCAAGGGCAAAGGATTTAGTATTTTCTAGGGAAAGACACAGGAAGGACCTGAACAGGTGTAGCTGCAAACCATGCCTTTCCTTCTCAAGGGCCAAGTTTATGTTAAAGGCCATGCAGCCCATAGAAGGATGGTTCTGGGAAACTGATGCCAACCCCCAGCCTTCGGAGGTCAAGGCACCAGAAGCAAGGACATCAGGGCTTTCTGCATTGGCCACTGCACACGCTGTCCTGAGAGATTTTACATGAGCCCAACAAAACATTAGAAGTGACTAGAGATGGCCAATTTTCCATTCTAGGAAATCCAAAAGTGTGGCCAATATTAGTGGGTGGATACTTAACACATTGTTTCAATGAGAAAAAAAAAAGAATCAAGATATATCATGCACAGGTTCAAATTTGATATGAATGTTATTATACCTAACATGTATCAATAACGTTAAAATTAAAAAATAAAACGCAAATGAATCCTCCAAAACTGTCCTTAGTGGAGTAGACAAAAATAGGACAGGTGATAGGTAACACTTTATATCTGTTTCATAGCAGGTTTTTAATCAGAAAATGATAATGAAAGAAGTCAAATAGCAAGTGACAATTTTTTTGGGGGGTACCAGGGATCGAACTTGGGACCTTGTGCTTGTAAGGCAGGCAGCAGAACCACTGAGCTAGCCCTTGCAATTTTATTTTTTAGGGTAACCACATACCATATGACTTATTTTTGTTGTTATTGTTTTTCTATTTTTAAAAATGTTTGTTGGTACATTTTATATATATATATATATATATATATATAGAGAGAGAGAGAGAGAGAGAGAGAGAGAGAGAGAGAGAGACGGATAGATAGATAACATTCATCACAGGAAATTTGCACCTGTACATGATACATTTTGCTGCTTCTTTTTCCCCATTCCTCCCCTCCTTTCAACTCCTCTGCCTCTCTTTATTTACAAAAGTTTTGTTTCCAGTTTCCCTTCTACTCTTTTTTTCTGTCCCAGCCATACCGGGAATGTGCTCCTTCTTGTCTGTTTTTAGAGTAGGCACAGCTCTCAGGTTTTCCTCTGCTCTGTGTCCCAGATACCATGTGTCGAGGACTTTCCTTCACCACGTTCTTCTACCATGGTATTTCTTGGCCTTGGACCTAGCTGACTATGGACTGAAACTTCTGAAACGATGCACCAAAATAAATCTTTTCTCATTTCACAAAAAATAAATAAATAAAAATGAAAAAAATAAAAAAATAAAATAAAATAGGCACAGCTGTTGTCTTGTAAAAACTAAAACCTCAAGTCTGCCCCCTGGTGTGAAGATCTGTAAAAGCAACTGCAAGCGTTTAATAGGCATCTTAGGCAATGTAGGTAACAAGGCTGAAATCACACTGCTCTACACAAAACCTACTGCACGGAGGAGACAATTGTTTTTACACTGAGTTTCACTAGCCATTATAGAGAACGTTACATTAGCTGCAGGTAGGTAAGGAGATAGAATGTACATTAGTACCAGCTATCACTGCTACGTTTCTTGAGGCTTCTCAAAGTTTCAGGGCAGGGCCTGGAGTTGCTGGTCCACTGCCTGGCTGCGGAAAGATCTTTCATGCTGTGGTTTGCTTGTAGTATTTTTACTTAACATCATATATTTAAAATTCTTGACTGATATTTGAATTGCAAATAGAAAAATATAAGGTGCTGAAATATTTACGAGATCCTAAAATGCATTTGTTTTAGTCTTTTGTTGCAGACTTATATGAATATCTTCTTGGATCCACTTGAACATCTTTGAATTATTCTGTTGTGTCCTTTCCTGCTCTGGCTTCTATGTGTTTTGTTTCTAACAATCTGTGCCCATGACTGTCACTGCTATATTCTGTACATGTCTCCCTTTAAAATTTACATGTTGGTATTACTCAGCCATAAAGAACGAGAAAATAGATTCATTCATAGGAAAATGGACACATATTGAAGATATACTCCTAAGTGAAATAAATAAGTCACACATATGTAAATACCAAATAGTTTCTCTGGTATGAATAATCTTCAATAATACATAAGATCCTAATAAGATTACTGACATTTAGAAATGGGAAGAAAGGAGCTAAAGGTGTAGGGAAGGTGGGATGTGTAGGGGAAGGGTAATAAGGGAAAAGAAAAAATGTGAGATAATGAAAAGATGGAAATAAAGTGTAGATGGGGGGAGGAGGGGGTGAAGGGAGGGCAGGGGTAAGGGGATAAAATGAGAACCAAGACCTGTCATGTAGAGGTACAAGATCCGAACAATGAATGTAACTGTACTGTATCCCTAAAATGTACCAATAAACTCAGTTAAAGCTGAAAAAAAAAAAGATTACAGTAAAAAAAAAAATTTTAAATGTTGGAAACTAAATCCCAAAGTCATTGCATTAAGAGGTGAGGTCCATAGAAGATGAACTCAGAAAAGTGACTTATAACAGGACAGGAGGGAACTAACTAGGTCCCTTTCCCCAACCATCTCTTCCTCCGTGTTAGGACAGTGTTGTGGGTGCCACCATCTTGGAAGCAGAGGCAGAACCCTCACCAGGCACTGAGATTGCAGGTACCTTGATCCTGGACTTCTCAGGCTCTAGAACTGTGTGAAAAAAAATTCTACTGTTTATAAATTACCCATTCTCTGGGGTTTTACTTTAGTAGAAGTAAAGGGCTATGATGCTTATCTTTAAAGGGCTTGTCATTAGACTACCAGGCCACAGAGGCACAAAACCTGTAAAGCATGAGAGTTTGTTTCATATTTTCTTGGGGTACAGCACTTAGCCAAGGACTCCTCCTTGTAGATAGAGGGATGTAGAGTTTGCTACACCAAAATACGCTACTCCAGCATAAGGGTTACATTGATCTGAAGGCCGTTGAGAAAAATCAGACACAGGATGGGCTCCCTGCCTTCCTCCCTGAAACAGAAGCTAAATTTCCCTGGTGAAGTTGTCCCCAAACCCCAGCCAGAAAGGGGATAGTAACTTTATCTTCACAGATGAGATGTTTCCTGAGTCTACACAAACACACCTCCCTGACCAGCTCCATCTTCCCTTAGTTTCTCCATATACTTACCTTCTTATAATTTGCCACCCCCTAAAGTCTGTCCCTTTCCTTTGTCTCCTTAGTTCTCTAAAAATTATTGCTCTTTTAAGATGCTAGGTAAGCCCAAGTTCTAACCACCCTTTGGATTTACTCATACCGATTTCTCCACATGTATGCAAAGCTGTATGTATGCATGCATATTTTTTTCTTATTCACCTGACTTTTGTCAGTCTCATTTTTAGGTCCCCTACTGGAGGACCTAGGAGAGTAGAAGAAAAATTTCCCCTCTGGGACTGTGAGAGCCCAACTGCCTTCTTCCTTAAAGCAGGAAAGAACGAAGAATGCTGACGCTACAGAGCTGCCCACAGGCCGGGCTGAGGCTGGGAATTTGCCCAAACCCCATCCATTGCTCAACCTGTCCCCCTTTCTACCTATTTCCCTGACACCCTCACTTGTTATTCCTCAGAGTGCTTCCTTTGTAATTTATTTGCACATGATTTATCGCCTTGAGATCTCCCTGGAAGTTCACTCCGAGGCTGCCCTGTTCTTCTCTTTGGTGTCTTTCAGCAGGCGCTAACAATATGATTCTGCCACCCTCACCCTCCCTCTTTTTGGGGACTGGGGTCTGGTTCATTATGGAAAATGCTCCAGTGTAATGTGCTAATTAAACACAGACACCCCCTACCGTGGCCCGTCCTCTAGGCTCCCTGCCCTCATCCCCTACACTCCCTGTTCTTGTTGCTTCTCTACACAGCTGGTCCCTTTCCTTGCTTCTTGTCTGGAAAGTACATTTCCCAGCCAGCCCAGACACGCTCCATCACCCCAATTCACATCTCTGTGAAAATGTCATCTCATCATCCTGACTGCCCTGTCTGTCATCCTTCCTCTCACTGTCCACCTCCTTTTCTCTTCTTAGTTTTCCCCTTGGCACTTAACATCATCTGATATTTATTACTTTCTAGCATCTCTATTATTGGAATATAAACTCTGCAAAAAAAGATATTATTTTACATATTAGGAGATGCCTTTTACTTGGAAGAGGGGTCAGCAAATATTTTGCATAGCAGTCCACAGAGTCAGCATTTTAGGTTTTCTAGGCCATATGGTTTCTGTGGCAACTACTCAAGGTGCCTCCCTAGCATGGCAGCACACATAGAAAACACTTGAATGAACAAGTGTCACTGTGTATAACTAAGAATAATCCTGTTATAATTTGTATTCCAAGAAAACTCTATTTACAAAAACAAGTGGGACTTACAGTTTCTTATTTGACATGAAGGAAGCTTGGAGGTCATTGCTCTGTTGTAAAAAGTAAAAAGAGGAACTAACTGAACCAATTAGGAATTCTTAGTTTTGTCAGAGAAGTAAGATCACAGTTTTCCCTGCTGCCCCAAATTGGAGAGACAGAAGAGTACACAGGATCACAGCTAAGCAGAGAAGAATTTCATGAGCAGAATCCTCTGGGGGAACTAGTGCTGGGGTCCAAAATCCGAACAGTGATTGATGGATTGCTGGAAGCTCAGTATGAACAAATTGGAAAGTTAAATTTTTTAGGAGGGTACAGTCTCTGGCAGTGCCCAGACTTTGTGAGTTTTGCTTTCAGGAGCTCAACTAAGATTTTGGTGAGTAACAGAGAAAAATCTATTTGTTTCCAGCAGGGGAAGCAGAAAATAAATAGTTATATAATATGCCAGTTCATTCTGTTCTTAACAAGTTCTTCTCTCTAAGGAAACTACTCTGCCAGAGCCTAAACAATTGGTTGTTTGTTTGCTTAACTGATATCTTAGAAGGAAAATGCAGAACTTCCATACCTTTTAGCCACCCTGTCCTACTGATGTAGGAAAAAACTAAGAAATACCCGTGAAGTTTGCAGCCCTCAGCACAGGCTTACTGGAAGACTGAGACTTAATCATAGGACTATAGAATCCTTCCTTTCTCTCTATAAATTGCCACCACATTACCAAGGGCCTCCCTGGTGGATCTCTTTTTACAGTACATAACACACAGCTTTTAAGAAAAAAAAAATTACAAGGCATACTAAAAGGCAACAAAACAACAAAAAACAAAAATAAAGCCAAAAACAGTTTGGTGAGACAAAGCAAGCATCAGAACAACATATGGCAGGGATGTTGGAATTATTAAAATGGGAATTTGAAGCAACTACTATTAATATGCTAAGAACTTTAATGGATAAAGTACAAAACATTTAAGACCAAATTGACAATGTAAGCAGAATTATGAAAAATATAAGAATGTTATTTACACTATTAGTTGTTCACACCAGAGAAATTATTTGGTATTTACTCAAGTGTGTCCTATCTATTTCACTTAAGAGCATAACCTCAATGTGCATCCATTTAGCTATAAATGTTTCTAGTTAACCATTCT